CCCGAAACGTCAGGTTCCATGTTAGTGGACTGGAGGATATAGATATCAAGCAGAGCCCAAAAACCAGGGTGACTGGTGGCGCCCATGTTTTTTGCTGTCTGAACTTCAACCTTGAGTTGGACCCCCCCCTCGCGCCTCCTGCCTCCCGCCTCCCCGCCCCGTTCCGCCCAACAAGTACAGCCACCCGTTTTGACGGATGCGAAATACGCATTGTGCGCAGCCTACAAGTTAAAAGTGAATAGAAGCAAATCTGGCGGATCCAAAATTCATACACCCTTGGTTGTTTTAGAGGCGTCCCAGTTTAGAGAGGATCCTTCGCTTTTGAAGGAACCACCCCCGATTCATCCGCCAGGTTCATTGTTCCGGAATCAACATTGGCAGCCAACTTCAAGATACAGTACAATAACAACATGTGGCTACGCACCACACAGGCGACCACGCGCCAATTCCATCAGATGACCAAGGTGCTTTCTCGGAGCAATAAATCCCAGGGGGCGGGGGGGGCATGGGGGGTTTGGGCGCTCTGCACGTGGCTGTCGAAATTGTTGGGACGGGTCTGTGGGGGCTTTCGGCGGTCCTAATCAAGCTTGCAGGGGGTCCCTGACTTCCAGGCAACATTCTGATCTTTAAGGGGTCGCTGGATTCTCCCTTCAAAAGTTGTATTTGGGCGAAAGTACCTGGCTCAATTCCAGTTGGTTTTGTCATATCGGAAAGGCGTCCTCCTCACATTCCGCATGCTTTTTGGTCTCACTGGATTTCTCTTCCGTGGATTGCTCAAATCAGTCCCATGCTTGGTGCTTGCCAGTAAATTATCTTCCCACAAAGTAGAAGTTTAGAAACTCAAGAAGTGAGTATTACAGTATTAAGCTTTGAGTACTCTTTGAATGTCCTACAGAAGTAGATCTGTGCAAATGCTGCCAAGGGAAAACAAAGGAAACCCAGTTTCCAAATGGTCTCCCGTGGCTTTGTATCATAGACATGCCGAGCTTGGGTTGATCGACCGCGCGGATGAAACAGTGTGTAAGCCCAACAAGTAACTCGGATTTCCTCTAAAATGGTACACCCCCAATCAAAATCACCAGGGCTTGACAAAATTCCATATTTAAGTCTTTACCCTTCTACTTGTTTGTTGAACCAATGTGCGTGTGTGTTGCCCCACTCGCCAAAAACCTGTGCCCTACTTTTTTGGCAAGGTTCACCACACTTCCTAAATGCTTCAAGGACGCCCCTGAGGTTGCCCGACAGGTCCGCCCAACCCGCGGAGCGGAAAGGGCGAGCAGCGTAGAGCGCGGTGGCGCTCACGAAGAAGAAGCGGGCAACCAAAAGCCTCAGTTAGGATCCTGTGGATCCGTGTCCCTCGCGTCCCATGGAACTTTGATTCAGGATCTGGCAAACAAATACCCCCGCTGTTCAAAAACCATACACCTAAGATGAATTAGGATCTGGGAATTACCCCCCTGCTTTCAAAAACCATATACTGCTGAGGTTCGCTTGATACCTGCCCTTTGGGATTTCAAGCCTTTACACCGAAAGACATCCTCAAAGGATATGAACGGAACCTCTGGGGTAACTATCTCCAAGACACCAGCCAAAACCTCCTGTAGCTGGTTTCTTTGACAGTTAATGAGCCCATAAGCTATGCGGTTGACAAGATGTAGCGTTGGCCGTGAATGTTGATTGTTTGATTGCACCCCTGCCCTGCTTGGAGTTTGGGTCACTAAAGGGAATCGGAACCCAAACATCGTCCAGTCCCCGTTCCCATCCACCTAGATGGGAAACTAAGTGGAAGCCAGAAATCAACATGGGGCCCGGCTAACCCTCCAGACTCAAGACCTCATGAAAAGCTCTCTGGCTACCGGCGACTACAGAGAAAAATACCTTGACATTTCCTTGATGCCCAACCCTCTCATACCTGTACCCCGTGCTTGCCTCAACAACTGCCTGTTGTTCAAAACAAATTCTTTGGACCCTTCGGAACACACACACACACACACTCACACTTGTCTCCCACCAAGTGGCGCTGGCAGAAATACCCCAACAAGCACCTCAGCAAGCCCGCGTGTCGTCCGCGTGTCGTCTGCGTGTCGTCCGCGTGTCGTTGGTCCGTCTCCAAGGACCGTTTGATCCCGAAGGCTTGAACTTGTAGACTGGGACCGAAACCAAGACCATGCCCCGAGTCCCCTTGGCTTCCAACAACTTCTTTCGGCCCCGTTCAGCCCCGAAGTCAGAGTCCAACTCGGAAGTGGTTCGTTGGATCCCTGGCTTAAGGCCGTCAGGCCGCTCCCGATGGACAAATTCCTGCACCTGGGAAGGATAAAACCCTGCAAATATTGGGATAAACCACCAACTGATGCCTGGAGTGGGTTTGGTCCATCCACTCGTTGAGCTGTTGCATCGGTCTGAGCCTCTCGGATATTCTTCGCTGGTCCCAAAGGCTCTGGTTCAGGGTCCCCCAACCTCGCAAAATGGGTGTGTGTGTTTGTGCCTCGGTATCTTTTTTAGGTTGATCTAAAGGAGTTGCCATTCTAGGGATCCCCTAGTTTGACGTAGCATACCCAAATGGGCGTGTGCGAAACTTATCCCAAGAGAATTCTCGGTGCTTTCATAGCGCTTCTCATCAAGAAAAACTCTTGCATTTGCCAACACCCAAATGATCAAATCTCACAACCCCAAAAGGGGCCATAGGACCCCAGTAACTGGATGTTGTTGACAAGCAAACTGTTCCTTTCGTTGCCCTCCCACCAACTAACATGAAAATCACAACGGTCCCGGAGGAAATTCATCTTCCAGCCACTGCGAGTCAGGTTGCACATAGGGTGGAAGCCATCTTCTAGCTCCGTTAGAAAAACACTCCAGAGACCCCAGCACAAAGGTAGACATCTGACTCAAGGCAACGTTTGGCCGATGTTCTATCCACGGTTTTGAATATTGTGTTGGTTGCTTACTTAGTAAGAGTTCCAATCCAAGAGTTTTCAAGCAAGTCAGGAAGGGAACCGTCGCAAGCAGCCGAGCGCATGTGACTGCTCAAAGCGCAGATCGCGCTTTTGGGCCTTCCTGCAGATTCCCTGTACAATCCTAGAGACCAACCAAGCCAGCGCACATGTTTGAATCTTCCTCCGCTCTGCAAAGGCCAACCCTCTTGCCACTTGTCAAGAAGCTGGTGCCCTTTGCAAAGGGACTTCCCTATGCCGAGGGTTACAACTGCTCCCCAGATTGCACATGGGACCCCCAACACCCTCCCTTCTGGAGACATCTCCTTTTCGTCGATCCCAGTTTTGGGTTCCAGGTAAGTTTGAAGGGGAGACCGTGATAAGCTGGCATTTTGGGCACCTCAAGTCTGGTTTTACCCATTGAATAATTTTTGTGCAGTGTCAAAATAGGGGAGCACCCCGTTCAACTGGTTGTTCCCTTGTCATTTAAACCCACCCCGAGTTAAGTTACCCTCAAAAACAAACACACACACACACAGACACACATTTGCAGCCTTTCAATCCTGTTGTGTTCCATGTTTGGCCTTTTCTGGCCAAGGTCCCAAAGGTTAGTTCCTGGGCTTCGCGCGTTTCTCTCGAAAGCGTCTGTATGAGAAATCTAAGACGTTGGCCGACCCTATGGACATGTTGGAATCCGTACATAACAACCCATCAATACAAGTGACCCAGCACAAAAACAAGAACGCGCAAGGGAAGCTTGGTCAGAAGGTAGTTCTCTAGCGAATGAAGAGCATGGCATTCATTGCAACTGTAGCTTGGCTTGGTCTTGCACCTTTCAATGCCTTGGGCATGGATGCACCAAGAGACTCGCCTAGCCGTTCTGCGTCATTGGTATCAATGAGGCGGGCAAATCAAGTGTTCAGCTGTTCAGCTGTATCTCTGAGGGTCGGACACATTCGTCTGGGACAAGACACCCGCTTTAATATGGCCCATATCAACTGATCAAATGCATGTGCCCAACCCCAAAACATACAGCCAACATGAGGACCAACTACGGTGAACACCTGCTGAACACGCCATCCTCATGCCTATCAAATGGCAAACTGTAAAATATAACTCACTCCCAGGACGAATTCGCTGACTCCCTTCAAAAGAAGCTTCCCGCAAAGTATATACAAAATGTCACGTCCAAAAGACCCGGAAGTGAGATCAAACGCATGCAAGCATGCACGCCACCGGACCGGCGTTGGTTTTAAACCAATCCTGGGTGGTGTTCTCTGATCAGTTGAGCTGGTACCTTAGCTTGCAACGGAAAGACTAGCTCCCGGCCAATGGAAGCAATACACAAGTTAGCACACAAATGACAAGGTGACAAGCATACAGGCTCGTGTCTTGGTTGCTGTTGACCCCTCTGCGAAAAGTTCCACTTTTTGTGGGTACAATTGAAAATCCACTGCTTCCCAAAAAGTATAAAGTCAAAAGATCCAACCAAATGATAGCCATACAACTCTTGCATCATTGTTTCTGGTTGGTTTCTTATTTGCAACCACACTGGAGAGTCCCCATCTACCAGGTTCGACGCATTCCCACATGATCAACGCTCCATGGGCAAATCTCAGTTGATCCAAATCACAAGTCCCGCAGCCAGCGGGGTCAAAGGGAGTACAAGGAGCATCCCAAAAGTTGACAACGTCAGCAATAAATACAATTTGTCGCAACCCGACTAAAGTAACCTACCGCCAAAATCCCAGCAACAAAACTATTCACTCCCCCAGGTTTCCACACCGAAGCCACATGAAGCCACTCCAAAGCAATTGGGGCGGAGTTGACAAAATGGTTCTGCTAGCCTGGTTTATGGGGTGCAAATATGTCACTGTGGCTGGGTCAAAACGGGCTCGAAACCGATTTGGACACAGGGTTCCTTGATACCATCTCCCCTTTGACACACTCCTAGCAAAAGGAAGCTACGCAAGATTGGCCCCAAAGGCAATATCAAATTCGCACTTGGGACCCTCTTAGGGATGGTTTGATCCATCACAAGCTTGCTGGAAAGACCATCCGTCAAGCAGCTCACACCTCATCCTGCTCAATCTCATCCAGCAAGGACATCAAGTCGCGAGTCCTGTGCAAGGGACATGTCGAACCCGGATTCATTTAACAGGGGAAACAACCCAACAAGTGATCCGGATCCGCATCCTCATGCCACACCAATCAAATTCAAGGTATCCTGGGTTCCTAGGTTCTGAAAGCGAACCCTTAATCTACCCCGCTGCCATTCCCTGAAGGCTTCCCTCGAGCATGTGCTTGGTGGGTTTCCTTAGGCTTGGCAATTTCCGGACCAAATCCGGCCCCAACTAGTACGTGCCTTCTCCCCCAGTTTTCACGCTGAGGTGGGATTTGGTTCAGTATGAAATGACGAGGCTTCTGTTAACGGTGGAGCCCCTTTCCCCACGGTCACATCAGTAGATGCTTGGAAGGCTAGGTCTTGAGACAGGGCGCCCAATGGTTTTGCGCCCAAGATAGGGGCACCGAGTCTGGAGGTCTGGGCTATTAGAAAGCTACCAGTACAGGCTCAATCGTGCCATGCATCAAACTAAATAGAACATGTGATAAACCAACACAAGCAACCACGTCGTGTAGTTGCGGCGTCCCATCATTGCAAAATGTGTTTGTTGTTTTTAGGCGGTTGCACACATGTGTGCGTTTACTCACATTGGCGGTCCCAAATCGACGCGGCTTCTGACATGCGGTTCAAGTCGTGGACTCGCATGGCCACCAAGGGAGGCTGTTGACCAGGTCCTTTTAGTAGAGAGGTTAGAATAAGGGCACCTTCTTTTTCCGTAGTCTATTTTAGTAGGGGATCCCTCCCCCAAGAAAGAAACGGTCAAAGGGCACTGGGGGACCTAGTTGACCAGAAGGCAAAACGGGCCTGGCGAAGTGCTGGCCGGAGGCATTCAGCTTGGCCAGGGCCAGAGGCTTGGAGGCCTCTTCCGCGCGGCCTCGGACGAGAGCCCTCGGGCCGAAAAGCAGCTTGGGTGCTGAGCCTGCAAAAAGTGAAGCACTTTTTGGGGGGTTCGTGGAAAACACCGTTATTTCAACCAAAAAGTTAGTCGAAAGATCCAACCCAATGGCAGTCAAGACATGGCGCTATAAAGGTGGGCCCCCGAAAAAAAAAAAGGCTACCCCCCGAAGCTCAAGGGCCCCAACAAAAACCACGCGAATTGCTTGAGCTCCATTCTTCCTGGCGGTGCAAAAACAAGCTCCTTTTCACCTAGCTCCATCTCTCCTGGCGGTCCACAAAACTGGCCTCCATTGCTTGACCTCCTTTCGCCCGAGCAAAACCATCGCTCCTTCGCTTTGGGTCCCGCGCGCTTCCGCGCGACCGCCTGCAGTGCCAAGAGCTCCACGTCCTGCCGCAACTCTTCCGCCGCGAACTGCAGCACGTCGCCTGCGCCGATGCGCCGCGCGGCGACGGGCTGCGTGAAAGGGAAGGCGATCGAGTCGAGGCGAGTGAGGGGAAGCCGAAATTTCAAGGGGAAGACCTTCCATGTCCATTCTTTCCAGGGATCCGAATCTTTTCAGGAAAAAACAAACAAACAGGGAAAGCGCTGGTTTGTGAAAAGAACGATGGTTGAAAAGAATGGGGAACCAACCCCTAGAAAAATTGAAGGGGAAGACCACGAGTTCGTGGGGGTGCTGCTATGTTAATATCCCCAAATGGGGTGGTTTCGTATTGATATATCCAAGCAACCAAAAGGGGGGTCGCAAGAGAAGACACACCAAACAAATCCAAGGTGAAAAGAGACGAAACACGCTAACATGAAACTCAAAGCAACTTGGCACAAAGGTGATGCTCAAACCACGAGCCAAGGGACATACCTTTCAGGTAGTTGATCTCGCCCCGAAATGGGTGAGATCCCTATGGTTTCCCTTTCCACAGTCAACACTCCACCAAAAGAGTCTCTCTGGATCTCACGTGACCAAAGGTCTCGCCATCTTTGGAACCACTTGGGTGTATGTGAGGAATCCATGTCCACGTCTAGGGGGCCATGTGCCTAGAAGGCCCCCACTACCCCCTCACTACCCCCCTCCCGACTCACCGATTGCTTTTTGTGTATATACCTTGCCACTGTCAACCACAGGATGCCTAACCATGTGGAGCGCCCAAAGCCCCTGCCCAACTTGACAACGGTGTCTACTCCCTAGCCTGAGGATCTTGGGGCTCACAACCCAAAGACCCTGCAAGCGGTTGAAACGGGAACCGAAAGGAGACCAACAGGAGGGGCCTTGAATTTAGGGAAAGACACCGCACCCTTTTGGGTGACTTCTTGTGTCTTACACTTATGATTGTTTGCCTTGAAAAGAACCAAACAAAAGGTGTCCTCATAGCAAGGAACACCAAGCCTGTGTATCTGCTGGCAAACCCCAAAGAAGCCAATGTTCGGACGCCGATGCCTCACTTTTGAGAAACACCCATTCAGGGAATCGGGTAAAGTTGGATTTCCTTTAGCAATTGGGACCTCTATTGTAGAAAATGTTAATTCAGGATTCTGCGACTGTTTGGGGCCTCTATTCTGGAATGGTTGCCCGCAAAAAAAAGCCGTGGGCAAAACACAACTGGCCAAAAAAGTCGGGCAACAAAAATGGGCAAACATTTGGAATTCCGCTTTTGAAGTGCGGTCCCCAAACCATTAAACTTAAGATAATTTCTTTACGAAACAGTACCGGCAAACAGTCACACAAAGGGGGTTGCCCACAAGAGGCCCTGATCCTCTTTGATGTGACTGTTTTGGGGTCCTCTTTAGTGTCGTTTTCTGGGGGGGGGGGTGAAATTCCCGAATTAAAGCCTTAGGCTTTCCTTTTAAAAGGGTCGTTCACCTAACCAAGCTCTTCCCAGCTCAAAGCGTAAAACCTTTAATCCATTTTGCAAGTGGTCTCCAAACCATCACAATTAAGATTTGGCAACACTAAACTCGGTACTGGGAATCCGAGAATAGGGCCTGGCAAGACTAAAATCGGACTTGGCAATACTAAGTACTGGGAATCTGTGAGTTGGTCTTGGCAATACCAAATTTGGACTTGGCAATACTACAGAAAGGATTGGGAATCTGAGACTTAGCCTTGAGAATAGCAAGTACGGGGAATCTGAGAGTAAGTCTAGGCAATACTACATTTAGTCTTGGCAATACTAAAGTAAGTACTAGCAAGTCCAAGTCCCACCCAGACCCCCAAACAATTTCACTAAAGAGGGTCCCGACTGGTTCCTCTGTTCCAGGGCGTCACGTCAGCTAATTTCCAAGGGGTTCTGCCCAAAGAAAGGGAAAAAGCAAAACCAGACTGGAGGGCTAGGGAAAGGACCAGCCCAATTTGATTCTGGTCCCTATTTTAACATGCTGAATAGGCCGTCCACTCGTTGTTCACCCTGTCGGAAAATCGGGAAAGACAAAAAAAAAACATGGCTGTGGGTCAAAAACAGGTACCCAAACTGGAACCCTGGTAAATGGAACCCAGGACAAAGACCGTCCAATTCCTGGCGAATTCCTTTTGACCCACATCCACATCAGCCATTGGCACCCGGTGGATTTGGGGCCTCAAGCCACATATGCCGAGGCACGCCCGGGCTCGGCGTGCTCCAAGGCCAAACTCACCTTGGAGCGAACGCTGACCCACCGCAGAAGCGGAGTCTGCTTAGTGCGTCTTTCCATTTGCTATAGCATCACTCTCAATCCAAGCGTACCTTTGGATTGTACTTTTGGGGGGCCAGATAGAAACATGTTTTTCTGGAATTGCTATTAGCAGGTAACCAAGGGAACCTGAGTTTCCCAAAGATCCAAGGCACATGGCGAAGGGTTGCCTTTTCTGGCTTGGAATTGATTTGGTACTGGCAAACCTCTGGGGATGACCGACCCCTCCCCTTTGAACAATGGAAAGCAACTCACGGACACCCAATCCAACCCGCAGTTCCCCAACCCAAAACCCAGCCCTGTTTTGGAGTATCGCCATTTCCCTGGTCACAAGGAGAAATCCGCGGCTCATTTGGCATCAAAAGCTTCAGATCAACTCGCTGCCGCTGGCAAGCTGACTCAAACGATCCCCTCATTGGTTTACCTGTCCCTTCCCTCGCATCCTTGCTCAACAGACCTGGAAGTATGTAAAGGACGAACAGAACCGATGCCTCATTTCGCATGCCTCCCCCCCCAACAATTCCTTCTGCTTGTCCTTCAAACCTCAAAAGGGGACCCCTAAGATTCCCGGCATTTGCCTTTTGCGCATCTACCCCAAACGTCCCGCATTTGCATATTCCCAGCGCAAAACCATTCATGTCTGTGTTCCTTCAAAAGAACACATCAAACATGCAGCGTGTTTGATGAATTTGAACCTCCACAACTCAACGCCTGCGTGTGTTCTGACGCGGGGATTCTCCTCCACGCGCTTGGGGGAAAGCAAGGTTGTCTTGTGAAAGCCGGTCTGTGGAGTTCCTACCTCGGAACGGACTGACCACATGCGGCTTGAACAAAACAACGCATTTCCGGACTTTTGCTTATTGACCTCTCCAAATTGCTGGACGGTACTGGCATTGCAAAACCGCCCAACTCCCAACTCCCAGCCCTTCAGAATTCAGACAAGATGCTATGCTGCGGTCCTACGCGATTCAAGCCCCTCCCTCTGACTCAAGTGCGCAGTTGCCAGCCCTGTACCCCTATGAATCAAGCAGGGCTTTGCACCTGAGCCCCAACTATTCTTTCCGCGGAAACTCCTTAAATAATTTTACGACTCTGGGCATGTTGGGTTGACAAAAGAAACATGAGTCAAAACCAAAAAGGACCAACCTGCGCAAACAAGTATGATTCCAAAGTTAGAAAGACGGAATCCCCAAGTATATACAGGACCTTCATGATGAGCGTCTTATCCCCAAACTCGTTCTTGCTTGCCCAGATCAACGGGTTTAAAGGTTCCGAAGAGGGTGTGGGGGAATCTTCTTGCGGCTTCCGGGGATGGGATAGGTTTGAGGGCTCCACAAGAGTATCTAGTACTACTGTAACTGCCGCCGCCGCCCCACCCCGCCCCCCGGCAGTCCGCGCGCAACTCTTCGGAGGCAAACTCTAAGGCGTCGCCGTCCTAACCAGACCGCGTCTTGAGTCTTCAGGAGCTGGGGGCAGGGCTGACCAGATGGCACAACAGGCGCTTGTTTCCCTGAGATGTTGGTGGATTTCTGAAACGGATGATCCAAGCTACGCCATTTTAGGCCTCGGGTCAGGGGGCGCCAGAAGGCGCTCGGAAATGAGTCGCGTTCCTCGATGACATGGAACCTGAAAAAGGTTGAAATCCCGTGCACCGAAACGGCCAGTATTCATGTGGCTTCTCTTGAACAAAGGAAGCCAACCATTTGCCAGACCTCCCCTCATAGGTCATCCGGAGGATGAGCTACACCCTGCAATAATTCCAATTCAATAGATAAATCTCAATGCCCACTTCAGCAAATAAGCAAACATGTCAGCAACCAACAAATCAACCAGTCATACTGATTCGGCAAATATGGATGTCCAATTGTGTTCGCCTCACTCAAAATAGGTGACCCCCATAAAATGGGTGCTTTCCAGTCAGTTCCCCATCATCACCCCAAAAAGGGGTCCAAACCAAACACATGCCCTCCCAGGTGTTCAGAACATCGAGCGTCCCCGTGGAGGGCGGCTTCCACCAGATCTCGGTCCTCAGTCGGTGCGTGGCTCCCCAGCAACAAACAAATTTTCGGAGGCCGGCGTGGAAGATTTGGGAACCAGTTGCACATGCTTGACCCAGTACTCAGTTCAGTGACCCTGGAAAAAAAAGGGAACCCTTCTTTGAGACCTTTTTAAGTGAGGCAGCAACAAAAAGGGGGAAAAAGGGTGCCACCGAACAGCTGAGACAACTTTCTGTGAGAGGCCGGCTTGGAAGATTGCAGTTTGGGAACCACCAGTTGCCCATAGTTGGCCAGGGAGTGATATCCCCAACATCAACCGGGACACGCATCCGTTCCGGAACCCCAAAACTCCCAGAGCTGCTACGAACCACTCGGGAGGTCATCAGGGCATAAACCCCGATTCAGCCGTTGGGGAAAAATGAACGTTGCCCGAGAAAAAAAGAAGAAACAAGAGAGTTGATTCCGTCCTTGGTAACCTTCCGAAACCCTTCGATGGCCTTGGGATACGCGGGTTGGTTGCTTAGTGATCATTGCAACTCACGAAAGCCACCTCTCCTCATGGACCTCCCCCCTAGGGTGAAAACCAGGCAGTCAAACCCCCCTGGAAATTCATGTCCGAAAGAACTGCAAGGCAAGGTGACTGTCTGGATCCCAATAAAGCTGTGAGATACTCCGCCTTGCTCGCAGCCAAGCGACACCTTCCAGGACCCTACACACGCTTGGGGGGTTGATAAGCCTCATCAGGGCCCCTGTCGGCAAATACGGCCTCATTGCTTATGGATTTTGGGGTGAGTCGTAGTTCTAAGTGTCCTCGCAGCATCTGCCTCTTGAAGCCACCAAGGGTTGCCATGGCTATGACTATGGCTCAAACTCCAACATCTGCGGAGAGCACACACGATGCCCGAAACCTAGGGGCAGAAATAATTCAGTCCACAACTTCCGAACCCCATTACCCGCTTTCCAACAGTCATGGAGTGCCAGGAGGCTATTGAAAAATCATGAAAAACAAGCCTATCGTTGCCATTGTTGCAAGGAAGGCATATCATGTTGAGGCCCCATTCATCCTAATTTGACTTTTGGAGTAGGGGACTGGGACCCCTGGCCGCAACAAAGAATGCCCGGCCTGAAAATCCAACCCTGAGGTCTGTATTGCATTTGCTGGGCCCTTAGGCTTGAGCTGGGGAGGGGGGGCCTCATCGGCTCATGGTTTGCCACAAAGAAAGACCAATGTCGGGCTCACAGGTGCATGCCAAGCTTCACCCCGCAACTTCTTGGAGGCTTTGTTCAGCAGCAGCGGCATCTTTCGCACCTCGCGGATCCGATGTCAAGGGCATGGTGTGGCCTCAAGGCTACAGAGTCAACGTGCCGCTGTTCCCGTAATGGAACACGGCACACGGCGAAGCTAGAGAGTCCTCCTTGAGGTGAGGAACAAAATTGTGAGGCCCCATCTCTGTGAAGAACTGACCATAAGCCTCTGAACATGTGGAGCGAACCTGATATGTCAAAGCGAGGAATCCCTCTAAATGGTTTGTATTGGTTTAATTCTATGACTGCCCGAATGAAACAGACTTGCCCACGTGACTGGCATTCATACCTGATGTATTTGCAACATGAACAACTCCAAGACCCAAAAAATAGCACCCTCACATCATGAGTGGAATCGCTCGTGTTACCACCAGTGGTCCGTCCATGAATTCGGCACCTGACCACCGGAAAGGCTTGCCCCATTGCCAAATCATCCAGTCATGGACGCATCCATCACACATCCCAAACCAGCTGTCAACCCAAAGGTCCCTTTCTTACAAACAATCCAGAGGGCTTCCGAAGCGAAAAGGCCTTCGACCCGCACCCCCTCAAGGGTTTTCAGGCCTTCCTGACCCCATGGTCTTTGGGAACAAATGGTCGGATGTAAGGCGCGCACTAGCACAAGCATGACCTCCTTGTCGCCGGCAAATTCCTCCTTGGGGAACCACAAGGAGAAGTCCTGCAGGGAGGCAAACAATGCAATTCTGCATGAAAGACTTCACATCCCAAAGCATGGCTGGTGCACTGCTTGGGGCTTCCCCGTCCTGTGGAGGTCTGTAGGCTGTGTCAACCAGGAGCTATCTTTTTCGGACAGTTTCAAAGGAAGCCAGACTGTGACAAAGGCTGCCTAAACCTTGACCCACTGGGGATTACAGAAACTACGTTTTTCAGATTATGTTCCAAGTGTAGTAAACCCTAAAGTAATCAAGTTCTGGAAGCGACCCCGAGATCTGGGGACATGTCTGTGTATGTATTATGTGGAAAGTTCCTTTAACATCACAAGCCCGCGGTTCTAATATAATGTCAAGCAGCAATCGAGAGGGGTAAGCCTAATGTTGATGCTCTAAAATGGAGGAGCCTAACTTTAATGGTCTAAAATGGAGGAGCCTAATTTTAATGCTCTAAAATGAAGGAGCCTAAATTTAATGCTCTAAAATGGAGGAGCCTAAGTTTAATGCTCTAAAATGGAGAAGCCTAAAATTCATGCTCTAAAATGGAGGAGCCTAAACTTAATGCTCTAAAATGGAGGAGCCTAATTTTAATGCTCTAAAATGGAGGATCCTAACTTTAATGCTCTAAAATGGAGGAGCCCAAATTTAATGCTCTAAAATGGAGGAGCCTAAATTTAATGCTCTAAAATGGAGGCACGGTCCGAAACCAACTGTCTGAACGATTTAACTGCGTGCCTCTTCGTTCAGGAGTTTCGGCCAACCTGAAACTGGTCTTGACACCTGACTCTTGCAAAGGGTACCTTCCGTGGGATCCTCTCGCACAAAGCTTCCTCGAAAGCCTGAAGGAACCCCAAGAGTTTTAAAGATCACCTAGCATGCCTGGCATGCTCATATCGATTCTTTCACCTTCCGATCAGTTCCCACCAATTCTGCACAATGGCGTCCCGCAGAACTCGGAGATCCATGCATGTGGGCGCCATGTGTCTTGCGGTGTCCGAAAACGATGACAAAAGAAACCTGCATTTTTTGTACAGGGATCCCAGACCCTCCCAACTCCCTTTCGTACTCGTCGGAGAAAAAACAAAAACAAAAACGGATAGGCCCCGACCCTGCAAACAAAGGACAACTCGGGTCTATTTGAGTCTCCAAGGAGGGAAACCAATCCCTTAGGCCCAGGATATACTTGCCCTTGTCTGGCTATATGCCTATAAGTGCCTATAAGGCTTACTTGCCCCCAAGCTAGGCTGCGTGTTTTCTAGGTCACACACTTCCAGGCTGACTTGGTTGCTGTTGACCCCCCCTGCAAAAAGTTTAACCCGTTGGGGGTTTAGTGCGGAAAACACCAACCTTATTTCAACTAAAAAGTTAAAGTCAAAAGATCCAACCCAATAAGGGGGGTGTTCCCTCCAACCGTGGTCTGAATCCCCACTAAAAGAATCGGGACACCCCCCAATCAAAATCAACCAGGGGTTTGTTAGCCTTAAGCCTCACACGATTCCAGGTTGGTAGCCCCTCAGCCCGGCCCAATGGGCCACAAGGGCCTTGCCCAGGGCGTCGGAGTGGCGGGTGCAACGCTTCGAAGTCACCGCTGCGAGGACCAGCTCCTGGCGAAAAGAGACGCGAGGTTCCATCCACCATTCAAACAACGGGGGTTCATATGGCCATGGGTCAAAACCCGAATCGTACCCCCGGTGGGCATCCCGGTCCCCGCTGAAATGGACTAAAATGGGTGGTGCACCTATCCCAAAATGGTACCATTGGTTTTGAACCATGGTACAAAAGAACCACCATTGTTTACCTAAAGATTGTCGTCAGTCAACCATTCCTTTAATAGGGGTTGAACCGTAGGGATAGCCCACGTTTAAGTTGGTATTTTGGGGAGAGGTTTCTGGTGGGGTTTCCCGGGGAACCCTAAGTTTCCCGGGGGGTCCCTAGATTTCTTGGGCTTCTTTGCTTTTGCGTTTCCCTAAGTTGAGACCCTAAGGGGCCCTAAGAGAATACCCCACAGATCAAAGGGGGAAATGGAATCTAGGGAAGTACATGCGCGTGTGTGGTTGTATTGCTGGTTTACAGGGCACAAGGACCTAAGGACATCTGCAATTTTGGGGGTCACCCTATTTTGACATAGGTTTCTCAAAATGGTGGAACCCCTCTTTGGGTGGGTTAAACGGAGACAGTTCCCGTATTTTAAGAAACACCCATAGGATTCAAGCGAATCAATCCAGTAAGTCCATTCAGGCCACTTGGTACTTAGGATGTGCTTAGCCCAGTTTGGCCTGGAGAACACCGAGAGGTCTGTTCAGACACCAATTGCCAGCCAGTGGGGAACCTAATAAATTATCCGCGCAACTTGCTGGATCTCAGTAGGGCCAGGGAATCACCAAGTGTTTTGGGAATGAACCTATACGGCCTATACCCTCAAACGAAACTCTACACGTTACGGATGGTTCAGCTATAGGCCCCCAATAGCCTGCATCCGGTCCAAGATCGATCCAAGAACTGACACCAATTCGTGCGTCACGAGGCCAGAGCCTGCGGCAGCACAAGCCAAGCAACTGCGGTGAGTGAGAATAAAGCAGCTGTGTCCATAGGGAAATTCGCGCAAGCGCGACGGCACCGTAACCTTAGAGCACTAGAGCCAAACGCATTAAGCAAACGCTAAGGCCCCTTGCCGACTTCTGAAGATGCCAGCACACTACCAAGAAACCTTCGGGCTCTCAAATCACCAAGAAATTTCTGGGCTCTCTTGCGCATTCCCACCCCCAAACATGCTGCGGGTTTCCTCTTGGCTTCGATTCACATTGGACATGGTCACCCCAACTATACCATTCCGTAAATCCGAAGTGGCGAATCCCATCCCTTGGTTAACCTAGTTGTCGAGCCATCTTTCAGTTAAAGCTTTCCCCTTGAAAGTTGTTGAGCCATCTTTCTTATATGTGTGGTCAGTGTTCCCTCAAAAGTATAGAAACTACCATCCCAGATCTCCGAGAAAAATAATAATAATAATAACAATAGCAATAACAATAACAATAAAATATAATAATAAATAAATTAAAAAAAAAGAGCCTCAGATTTGGATTTGGACCTCCCTGCTCCGGGTGAAGCGAACCTTCCCCTTTGCCCCGCCTTGGAGTCCCGGAGCTTGGGGGTGGCGAAGCGCAAGGCCAGGGGCTGCAGCTGCACCGCTGCCTCCAGTCGCTTCGGGGCTTCGTTTCGTTTCGGAACACCGCCTCAGGGTAGGTGCGGGCCCCGCCCCCGGAGAAACAAGAAGCAACGAATGAGTCAATGAAGAACTGAATCATCATAAATGGACAAATCATCAAAACATCTGAATGAACAAATACATAGTTGAATAATGAGTAAACAACAACATAAACAAAGCAGGGTCGCAGTGGTTGTTGGTGGCTGTTTGGTCCTTGTATGCCCAAACAATGCACTTCTCGCTTTGTCTCAAGTCAACCAGCACGAAACAACTGCTTCTCGTTTGCGAACATGGGGGAATTGCCCCTAGTTTCTGGGTTGATTCACCGTTCGGGCTGGAACTCGGCCGGGTCGAAAGTGGCCACGGAGAGGAAAAACGGTGAGAGACTCAGAGTCAGAGGGCCTCACGGGGGCGTGATGTTCTAAGACATATACAACAACCCATCAAAGAGCAGATCTCTATACGTATATATATATATATGTATATGTATTATCCATTTATGTATATAATGTTGTATAGAGATGGTTGAAATACCTTGGCTGGGTGAACCAAAAAATAGCATTTCGGCAGTTTGCAAGAGGACACCGGACACCTTCCGGCCAGCTGAACAGTTCCATGCTTGTGGAAAAATACGAAATCTGTGAAATCAAAGCGGGATTTCCCTCTTTGTTCAGAGGGCTTTGGTGGGTATCACTGTATCACAGAAAATGGCAACCTATTGCCCATCCCGAATTATATAGGAGCCAACACGCGAAATCGCAGGTCTTGCTTTGCTGCCTTCGGGCCGACGAATGTTGCCCAGTTTCCGCCGATGTCTGCCTCTTTTTCCGACAGAAAACGCTTGACTCACTGGCTGCTTTCCCAAACCGGACCAGGTTGATGTGCCTGGCCTGTCCTCGGCCACCAAAAAGAACATCAATTTGGCTCAGTTGTTTTCCTTGGCGAGTCCAACTCTGAACATGAGAGACCTGCAGATTCAGGCAACGGATCTAGACCGACAAATTACTGGACTTCCGAAACTCGAAATAAAGAAAACCCTAGTAAACGACCTTCGAGCTCCTTTACCGCCCAGGTGAGCTCAACAGGATTGCTACGTGATGCCTGAGTCGCAAAGCGTTCCAACGAAACTGCCACCTTTTGGAGTCCCCAAAAAAGAAAGCGAGGGATTCCTGCGGTTTCCGGCGCTTGTTTGGCCCTTGGAGGCGCAAGCGTGAAGACACTGCAACAGATTCACTAGCGAGCCGCGCACAGAAAGCTTGACGAGCTTGAAACAGCAACCCTCGGTAGCTTAACAACCGCACATGCAACCAACTGAGGGCCAACACCTTGGAACGGGCAAATCCAGTATATATATATATATATGTACGTATATATTATATCTGGATCTTCCAAAGTGAGTATTTTTCATGCCTTCGTGAAGCTGCTTTTTCAGACAAACAACACTTGTTTGTGACTCCAGGCACTTTTCACTTTGTTGCTCTTCTGGGACAAATCCATGAAGGCGAACCGGCGACAATACCCGTCCAAACGGCGACAATACCCGACCAAACGGCGACTTCCCCGACCATGTCAGCCAAATTTGAAACCACACGTTTGCCGTGAAAGCGCGTATGTTCGACCAAAGGACTGAAATTTGTGCTTTTTCAGCAAACGGCGGGAAAAATGCACACCTGAAGATTCAGCTATGTTGTATATATATATATATATATACATAATTGCCGACTCGCAGCCCTGCCTCCCTCCGAAATTTGGGCATGAATGTCAATTGAAGACCTTGGTGGGCATGGGATTTGTGCCGACCTGAAATTTTGAGAGTTTTTGCCCGCATTGTAATATCGTAACTTCTGAAGCGGCGCCATCATGATCTCGAGGTCCCCGTTGATCACGCGGGACACATGCTCAAAGATGTCCTCCTGAATGGCCGTGAATCGGAAGTGCTTTTTTTGTGGCGCTAAAGACTCCAAACATGGGTGGTGTCGTGTTGGCTTGCCCTTTTAGGCAACCCCACAAAAGGGTACCCCCAACAAAAACACTGCCAAGTAGATTCCAACAAACACGTTCCTTTCGGAACGCACATGGCTGTACTGTGCAAGCCATCGGAACTTGCTTCTTAGACCCATGCAACGGGTCCCCTAAGCATACATACCCGACATGCAGGAGTTGTTTGGCTCTGCTGTTGCTCACTGGCTAAAACAGTTTAAGCATGTTGTGTGCGTAGTGTTTGCCAGGCATGCCTGCAGTGCTCAGCGTGTGCCCTTGAGCAGGTGTGCTGATCTGGCGGACATCGGTGCTGAGCATAGCGGCGGGGTAACTCCCCGATACCTTGTAAGGAAACTATCTATTTTGGGGGCTTGCTCTGACTAGCAGGTCCTTTGCTTTGTTTGTCCGAAGTTGACATCGAAGAATGCACGCGCTGATTGAAGTCACTTTGCCAGAGTGTGACCATGGGAGCGCAACGGTGAGTCTGAGGCCCGATCCACGCACCAGGGGCACGCCAAATGCGTCTGAATCCTCGGCTCCGAGGATTCGGGACCCAACGAGTCCAGCCAAAGGCCCCCCCCAAGACCCACGAAAGAACCGCTCCCAACCGCGCAGGAATCGTTTGGTCTTGATTGGCCTCAATTGGCCGCATTAAGCGCTTTGACCCATTGCCGCTGAGTGTTTTCTTAAGTGGACGAGATCCCAGATGATTAGAAACCCTCAATTCAATCTCAGTTAATTCTCAGGTCAGTTCAACATTCTCACACCCCAACTCATCCCCAGCTAGCTCACAATGAAACCTCACATACACCTCAGCAAAACGACCCCAACAAGGGTACATATATATATATATATATATTATACATACCACCCTCCAAACAAATATTTGATTGGTGGTGATTGACAATCGCGATTTGCGAATTTGCTTATTTGCTCGTTGGCTTGCTTCAAAATGGCCAGCCTCTGCTCACTTGCTCACCCATGAAAAAGGGCTGCTTGTTTGCCCCTTGAAATATCATCCCAAATAAAATAAACCAAACCTCTATTAGACAACTCATCCACCCAAACTATACGGAACTCTGTAAAAGCCGGCCACCTAATTCATGATGGCAAAGCACACTGACATCACAAAGTCCTTGTCATTTCTGAGCCGCTCAGAGGCGTATCCTTGGTTGGTTCGATCGACACTTGGCGACGCACCAGCGGATGGTTGGGTCCTTCAACTGAAAAGTAATTCCTTCCTGGGGCCTCTAAACCCCTCAACACATGGCCTACACGCTTTGGTTGGAAGGAACCCTCTGATAGCTGCGCCAGTGGTTCATGCCGGAATTGCATCAAATTCTCGGGGAAAAAGGAAATGACAATTCCTACCGACTATCTACTACAAAAAAAGAGCCCAATCCTGCAAGGGAAGCCTCATAATCAAAAGCTGGTTCTATAGGTTTGCCTTACACTCCTGGAAAAACCAATGAAACATGACTCTTCATACCCGCATTTCTTTCCAATTGATTCGGCTAAGCCTCAGCTGCTTTGTTTTTGGGTTTCTTAAGGGACCCGCACCAACCCCCCAACCCTCCTATTTGCTCTTGGGTTGTTTGCCTCAACAAACGCTTCAACGGTTTCCAGCGTCCTTGGGTTTGCGGGGGCCCTGATCTCCCGAACTTTCTCAGTGACCATGGAAGGGGCTCCCCCCCCTCCCCTCCCCATTTCCTGAAAGAATAAATATCACCAAAAAAGCGCACGCTCAGGGTGACCTCTTCTGAAAAAGCATGAGGACAACAAAAAGGCGCCTCTCGCCTGCGTCTCAGTCGTGCCAAGCTTCGGAAGTTCCGGGAGTGCTGCTTCACCAGCGCCAGCGCCACCTCAACTCCCAAGAGACCGCCGAGTCAGGGATGGCACGGCCAACAACCGTGGCGGCCAACCGAACAACGGCTGGTTTCCAGGAGCCTTGCTTTGCTCAGTTGTCTCAGTGACCCTGGAAAAAAAGGGAACCCCTTTTTTGAGAAGACCAATTTTAGTGGGGCAGCCACCAAAGAAAAGGGAAAAAGAAATGGTGCCACTGAACAGCTGAGTTTAAGTGAACTGGTTTTGCTGATGGTGGTCCCATATTTGCAGGAACCCTACCACCCTACCAACCACCCCAAACCAAGGATGGCGATGATGGCGCCTTAAGTGGCCTCATGCTGGTTTTACTCAGGCTTGTTAAACCCTGATTGTTGAACATTGCTAATTTGCGGTAAAACCAAACAAAAAAAAGAAAGCGAATCGGAGACACTGAACTGGGGACGCCTCAATGTGCGGCTTTTCTTTGGTCCCCCGTTTCTCACCAACCCCAAAGTCCCCCAAACAAATTCCAAACGATCTCAAAACATGTAGTGAGCCTCGAAGCTCACACCCAAAACTAAGGTGGACCCATCTTTGTCCGACCCAACATAGAATGTCGATCAATCCCCCAATCACTGGGTTTGAAACCCCCCCGCCTCTTTGCTGTCCCGGATGTGCTCCGTGGCGTACCTGTTCAACCCTTGATAACAAACAAACTGGCGCGTTTTTGGGTGCAGCCCCCCTACAAATGACACACAGGATCAAAAAGACAATCTGAAGCAAACAACAACGGATGTGTTTTTGTTTTTCCGTGCAGCCCCCGCAACAAAGGACACGCATGAACCCACAAACAACGAGCAAACAAACAAACAAAACACGCACACACACACACACACATTGTCTTTTAGGGCGCAGCCCCGTGCAATTGGCAAAACAACAAATAAACACAAACACCGAACACAACCAACAAAAAAAAAAAACACACACACAAACAAGACACACGGGGAAAGAAGAAAAAGCAATGAAAAAAACACGAGAAACCAAACACATATATATATATATATATATGTATGTATAAGAAACAAATACACACAAAACAACAAACACAACAAAAAAAACCAAAACATCGCCATGAGGAGTGCTCCCCATGGGCTCCCCATGGGCACCTCATGGGCACGGAGAGCTCCCCCATCGCCTTCAGGCAGATCTCCGGATCCCCGCGCAAGGCCTCCGAGAAGTCCTTCGTGGCGGATGGCGGGCGGGAAAAGGCGGGGGGGGGGGGCCAAGTGGGGGGGGGGGGAAAACGGGTTGGTTTTGGGTGGGTTGGTGGGGGTGGGTTGGTGGGGGGTTGGGTTGGTGGTTGAATTCAAGAAATGTCTCACGTCCTGAGTGGATTCGTCAAAACCAGTCCAATGGATTGGTTAGAAAAAGTAATCACACTTGTTCTTGACAAAAAGGGTCCAAACCCAAAGAGTGACTAAAGCCCACCACCCCAAAAAGTGACTAGTCCACCACTCAGGGAGTGAGAAATGGCCCATCCCTTATCCAGCCTGTAGGGGGCTGGTTGGCCCTTTTGGGTAATATTTTAACCCGCAAAAAAATAATAATGGTTGCAAGCCTCTTGAGTGGGTGCCGGTAGGCTTCTATGGTCCTTTGGTACAAGGCGTTAGCGGTTCAAGTACCTCAAAGGAAACAAATGGAAGCTTATAGAGATTTGGTGATTCGGTGGATGCTAGCCGAAAATCATCAAAATCATTGTGTCGTGTTTTTCTTCTTTGTTTTGACGTGTTTGAGGGTTCCCGCATCGCAAAACATGGTTGCCCACATGAATTCCCCCTCAGTCGAACGCCTTTTGGTAAGGCGGGTACCGGCTCCTCTCTTTCACTGGGAATCACATGAACAACAAAACAAATTGCCCCCTTTCACTGTCCCCACCTGGTTGTCGATTTCAACGTTGTGATAGAGTTACCCATCATGACCAGTTGTCGCTAACGGAATGCGGAGGCGTGTTCGCCCCTGGCATTATTGCCCGATGTTCCTGGCAAACGTTGAAAAACCAACCTATTCAAGAACTGGGACAAACAAAGGACCGGGGCAAACAGGGGATGAGGAAAGAATCCCGTCCCAGCTGGTCAGTCATCTCGAAGCTTTCTGCTCATGGTATCTCATAGTCACGAACATCTTCCACAATCCAGATAAACAAATTAAAAAAGTAGACGGGATCGGCACTAGAGAACTTCCAGCGCATGCAGCGGCTGGAAAGAACCTGCATGCCCCCACAATGGCTTTGGGACCAGCCTCAAGGAATACAGCGGTCAGGGAGGGTTACCAAGCCTTCTTCGGAAATGAGGCCAACAAAAGGCTGAAGGCAACCATTCAGATCCCGGTCTTCACACTGGGGAGGGCAGGGCTCTTCTGCTTCTCGATGCGCAACCGAGGTGTGTCAAGCACATGTGCATTAGCAGAAGCAAAAAAGTGGGATGCAGAGGATGTTGGAGGAATCACCACAACCTAGACCTACTCAACTGGACATGCATGTGGAACCCTACAAGCTCGTATATGGCTTCTTCCTCCCTTTCGGGGTTGCTTGTGTCCGTTTGGATGCACATGCACCGTACAGGATGCGCAAAAGTCTTGACCATATTCTTCTATGCCGCTGCCAAGCTGCTGGAAAGAGTGCCGATCGACCTGGCACCAGCGAACCCCAAAACTGACCCTTTGCAAACCTAGTTGCAAAGGAAGCTCCGACCCAGTTTTGCCAGGATGCATAAACGGAGGTTCAAAAGTCAGCTTCGAAGGAGTAAGTTTACTCCAAAGGCACGGCACACACACACACATGCAAGAGGGTTTCACTGCCCCCAAACCACCGCCCCCCAACGAAGTGTTAATATGTGTATGTATATATATATATATATATATTATATATATATATATATATATATTATACCCTGTAGATATAATTTTTTTAGTGGTTCTGTACCCTTCTAAGTTTAGCTTGTCGATGCTAGTTGGGCGTAGTGGAAACCCTTCTAGAATCAATGATGCTCACCACAAATTGTAAGTTGAGCGAGATGCAGGGTCGGTGCCGCTAGGTGTTTCCATTCGCCTCCAAACCACGTGACACACGCTGTTTGAGTAAAGGGCCAACCGTTTAGGCTCAGTGTATGTTTGCGTTGCCCAGTCAACTTCACAATTCACATGGGGGAAAAAAAAAGACACCCACCACTGCGAACGCCAAGGATGCTGCACCCACTTGGCATATTTCTGCTAATGGTGTTGACAGTGTTTGTCTCAGACCCCTCAATGTTGCGTCCATGGGCTTGGGAAACCTGCTTCGCCTGGGCTTTTTTCTGCAAGCCGTGACCGCTTGAGGACTCCAGGGCCGGTTGTCTCAGTATATATATATATATATTATATCAGCATCAACTCGTGTGTGCAATGCTCCAAATTCCTTATAGCCGTGGCTTTGACAGAAACGTTTACATGGTTAGAGCCCTGAGGTTGCTGACCATTCTCGCCAACCCAGCCAAAACCGGGGTGGGCTGTAGGGGCTTTGGTGGAGGCAGAGTCCCGAATATATTTGGCAGTCTCCTGAAAACAGCTAACCCAGATACCCGGCGACAGCACCAACAAAAAACCTGCCACCCTTCTTCGGTCTGGGACCGGGGCCTGAGAGACCTGCAGAAGGTATCAAGGTGGTCTGAAACAAGACCCAGTGTGCAAGGCAAACCGTCAAGAAGCTTGCCAAAACCAACAAAAACGCGGATTTACGTGTCAAAATAGAAGTTGAACCCCAAAAGCCGTTCCTTTTGGTTTCCCTTCAAACCGCCCAAAAGCAAACCAGCACAGGGCGTCTCTCAGCGAGCGCCTGGTGGGCCCAGGAAAGCCAGGGCCTCCTGTCGCACATAGGTCGTCACCTTCCTCGCGAGGCGCAGTTAATATCTCGCTCAAATCGAATCAGGATGCGAAGCCCAGGAGCACAAGCCCAAGGTTGCCTAGGGAGTGTCCCATTTCAATATTCAATTCATCCGACGTTCTGTTCAAGTCGGCAGGGTGCACACCCAATCTTTTGCAAGGCGACCCGTGGTTCAGGGGCTCGATTATGTGGCTGCAGGTCAAGGATTGGGGAACCCAACCCTGGCCGGCAAAAGAAAACATTGTCAAACATCTGCGGTCTGCCTGCTCGCACTTTCGAGCCAAAACCATTTTGACAAGCCTTTCAACATTAGGCATTGAGCCGTTGCAGCAAAATTTCAAGGGGAAAAGGAGAACCATGCCCTTATTTGTTGTCGTGGTTCGACTTGTTGTTCTGCTTGTTAGTACGTTTGTAGTATTTTCTAGTACTCTTTAGTACTCTTCTTCGGAAGCTTGGCATTCAATAAGTAACATCTCAAAATCGTCCAGATCGGCTCCCTCCTTTGAACTCCGAGACTCTGAGTTGAGTCTTCATTAAAGGCTGCAGCGCAAGGCGGGCCAGCTTGAGAGAATTGCCACCACATCTGTGATTCAGTGATACCACCAGAATTTCCAGAAGAGTTTCCCATCACAAGTGGGGGGGATGCCCTCAGGGCCCTGGATCGGAAGCCGACACATGTATTGAGATCCTTACATCTTCCAGAGGGCAAACGTCCATAATTTGCAAACTGGAAACAATAAGGGGAAATCATCAAGTAGGGAGCCTTCGTCATGGCTGGGCTGGTTGTAATTTGCCTAGATTTATTCAGACACTTTGGTCACTTGACGGCTCCTCCCCCTCAATCACATCTGGGGGTGGTTCTTCTACCCCTGTGCCTTCGCAAGGAATGCATGTCGCTTGCCAGTCATTTCATATCCTCTGTCGTAGAAAATGCAAAGGGTCAAGCCAAAGAGCAAAGCCACCAAGACTTCTAGTTTCACGCTCGTGAGCGGCAACCAGTTCGGGCAAAGCAGCAGGACCAGGGCTGTGGGACATGACCACTTCTGTGATGCAACAAAAAGGGCCTCCCGAAGACTAACCCCCCATAAAAAGGGGATTCCCTACCACAGAGGTGGGGATAACCCCCATCCCACAACCCTGAGCACACGCCGAGCAATTCTGGGCACTGCCAAGCCGAGAGTCTTGCAGTTGTTCAGGCGCCCGAGAACAAGCACTTCGCTCCTGAAGGCTAACCGAACCCGGAAGCCCAGCAACCAGTTTTCGGCTAAAACATGGCTGTGGTTGTCAAAAATGGGAAACCCCCAAAATGGGTTGCCCTGGTAAATGGAACCCATGACATTTTAAACAGGCGGTCCATATCCTGGTGGTTTAATTTTGACCCACACCCACATGTCCATGCAGGGATCTCCCACGTGCGGCAAGTGCTGTGTGGTGGCTGGCTGCTGCCCCAAGAACATATTCACCAGCCAGAAAAAAGAAGAACAAAAACGCCATCATTGCTACAAGCCTTCTTTGTGAGGTCGCCTTTGCCTGGAAGACCTGGAACCTTGTGTGGGATTGAACATGTTGCAAGCAAGCGGTGCTCAGTGGCAATCAATCCTCCTCTGGGGCCTGGTCCGCCTGGGTTTCCCTTTACTTTCCCTGCAAAACTCTATCCAGAAAGACGATGGGTCAAAAACCAAATCGGTTAGCCCCCAGTGAACGGGACCCAATCCAACCACTAAAATATAAAAAGGGTGGTGAATTCACCTACCAACCAAAATTGTACCATTGGTTTTGACCCACAGCCAGACCTGGACGACCCATTGATACACGTATTCGTGCTCGAGCTGTTGGACATGCGCACAAAAAAGGACTTGAGTTGGGGGTCCAATGCTTGCTCAAGCACTTCGCCAAAGCTGCTAGGCAACTTCAAAAAGTGTTCGAATTGGATTTAGCAACGAAAGCCGCTCGAATGCCAAAAACTGCCCGGTGCACGCTTTTGGGTGTATTCAAGGGTCCTCAAGAAGAGCTACTTGTTTAAGCTCGCTGTAATCTCACTACATGCTGACAACCATCAGTTTGCTATTTGCGCAAGGCGTCAAACATGAAATAGACCATTCCCTCCGAAACCAACCGGAGCCGTCAAAACCACATGGACAATAAGGCTGACTTTAATTTTGAGACACAGATTCTGTTGTCCTCAAGGACGATTGGAACGCCGACCGCCGAAGTTGTCAAAACCTATCCCCTCAGCGGTGAAACAAATCCAAATGCAATCCTACACTTTTGGGTTTCTTGCATTCCTTTGTCAGTCCTTTAAAAAAGGTGTCAAGAGGGAAACCCAAGCTCACTCGCCGAATCGCTATGGGGGAAGTACAACACACGCTTCTGTGTCAGTTGAGTTGAAAGGAAACCCCCGGATCAATGGCTTGCCAATATTTCTCCTTTCAAAATCTCGTCACCACAAAGCTTTAATGGCCCCCTTGCTGTGGCTCTGAACTGAATCAGTTTATGACCAAAGAAACCTCTCTGTAGAATCGCCGTTCAAAAAACCCCACTCATCCAAGGATCCCCCACTCCTCACTGAAAGGGTGTTCCCTCTCCTGATTTGTATGGTGCTCCAGATTTATCCCATTTAAACTTCATATCTTGAAAGGAGCCGCGTCCCAAGAGCAATGGGGGCTTGCAAGGGCCCTTACAAAGGAAGCTCGCCTTTCCAGATGATGATTAGAAGCACCCTGGCAAACAGGGCGTTTGCATCCATAGCCCTTAAACCATGCGATCAGAGTCTTAGGGCTTTAAGGATCAGGGAGGCTCTAGGTTCCGCCTGATTGAAGGGACCCCCTTCCCTCAAAAAGAGAAGGACACACACTTGGCCGCCTCACTTTGATAAGTGGGGTTGTATACCCAGAAGCTTAGTTTAGGAGGCTCACAACCCGAGAACTCCACGAAACAACCAAACCCTTCGGCAGAGGGGCCGGTTCCTGGGCAGAACATCAGCCCATCTCAAGCCGAGGATCGATCCATCGCCGCCCCCGAGGCACCAGTCCAGAAACTCCTCGTACCTTCGATCCCGGGGCACCCAATGTCCGGAAGTGAATTGCCTTTAGCTGGTGTCTAATATGTGTGTGTGTGTTTCCTTTTGGTCCAAGTTTGACCCAGGTGGGCCTGTGTGGGCCTGTGTCAAAATCATGGAAGCCCCCAAATCACACATCTAAACCAAGCGCTTGGCCGCCAAAGGCTTCGATTATCGGATCACAAGCCTTTCGAGATATCTCTTCACTCCGGATTCTGCATAAAAATTATATAAGGCTTCCATTTAGCGGAGGTTTAATGAGTTAATTAGCCGATTTGCAACTAAAAGCAAAGGCGACTTTTTTTGTTCTCTCTCTCTCTCTCTCTTTCTCTGTCTGCCTGTTGTCTGAGGGCTGTGCCCAGCTTCGCAAAACCGGAAGCTGGGAGGTACACTTGTTCGGGCGGGCAGGGTACCACGAAGGCAAAAAGGTGCCACACAATTCGGCGTTTGGGTGGGGGGGGGATGAAAGCCCAAAGCCGAGGAGAGGGGCACCAGATCCTAGCTATTGACATCGACATTGCTGAATGAGTCCTTGCTGGGCAACAGGAGTCTCCTTGGCCCTCGACATATTATGATGATACGCCCACACTGGGGGCAAGTTCATTGTTCAAAGAAACTCCATCACCGGCCCTCTGGGTGTTGCATGCGGGGAAGGGCTTGCCCACGATTGACTCGTTTCCCTAAAAAGGTGCCTTGGAGCCTGAAGATTAGCGGTATGGGCCAAAAGTCAAAAGTACACTTCCCAAGCGGATTGGCGACAAGTCCAGACTTGACTCAAATGATCCTCCCGACCTGAGGAACATCTTCACCTTCCACAAACAACCCTTAAAATGTGCGTTAAACGTCCAGGAAAAGCGGTGCGGCTCTCATCACCAAGACCTGGGACAAGGTTAAATACCAGCCGAATGGTTTGGCTAGGCTCAATCGAGTACGCCCCATTTAATTTAGGTAGTTTGTAACCTCGTTTGCAAGCAAATAAAGGCGGAAAAACATTGAGGTTGCCATCAAGATTGGCCATACTGGAACCACCACTAGATTAGCAGACTGATTTGCTTTGGGCAACAAATTGGTCGGCACTGCAAAAGCGTGGCGCATTTGAAAACTTTGTGGTCCCTACGAAACTCCCAGCATTCTTGACTGAACCTTCCGAGGACCCTCAGCAAGCACCTCAACTAAACGCAGGATTGTGGGACGCGCTTTGCAGCATATGGACGACGCCGCCCGAACAGGAGAGAACAACCTACTTTCGGGTGGCAACAAGAAATATAGGAGACTCATTCCACAAAACCGATACACGGTGTCCATGAAACTCAATGCTAACACACACACACAATGTGCATCTAGGCTTCCAATGGATCGCAACAGAAGGATCGCCTTGAGGGGAGTGCGGCTCCAGTCATCGACGACGGCCCTATCAAAAGAGTTCAAAACATGTTCAACAAATGCACTTAGACGTTGAACCTCTTCATCCTCTCTAGCAACATGCCGCTTCGGACACCACATCCAATGCCAGTTCATCCCACGGCCATCTGTGCGGGCTCCAACTACCTCCTCAGAAGACCGGCGAATTGGGTGTCTCTTTCAGGGACGCTAAACGGCTCCTTATTGTCGGGCTCCAGCTGGCACCAAAGGAAAATCACGTGGGTATCATCCGAGAAAAACAAACAAACAAACAACAAACGCTTCGTCCAACGAGTCTGATGCAAATCCGGGCGCTGGATGCTGTCATCGTGATTTCGATCCACGACCTGCAAGGCGCGAACCGAGACAAAGATGTCCTTTTAAGCGTATCGCTTTTCATCACAGGATCCAACCTCCCCCATACCAGACCCCCCCAATACCCCTGCTTTAATGAGGCCTTGTACATGGTCGTATCTGGGGTGATTTCAGAAGGAAGCTTTTGCAAGAAGGTGCCGGCTGTGTTCATACGGCCTGGAAACTTTCACCCTGAAACATCTGGCGTGACTGCGCATTCTACCGCATGGCCGAAGGTATGCAAGGGCCCTGCGTGGGGTTGTAGCTCCTGGAGGATTAGCAAATAAATTGTGTCACAAGTTGAAGAAGTATCCTTGGGCGGTCCAACAGTCTAAGATGAACAGTCTAAGATGGGTCACACGTTTCAAGACTGCCTCCCGACAAACCACCAAGTCGGTAAGTGCATTCACAAAATGGCCATGGCACGCCTGAACTACCTTCAGCTTGAATCAGTACCTGTTCAGGGGTGAACGACACACACACACACATAACAAACACGGAAACCACACACGCACATCGAGGTGCGTGTGTTGCCCATTGGCCATGATGGGAATCAAACTGACTGACCTGCACCTTCGCGGATCACCCAAATAATGTTGTGCAATCCAAGTCCTCGCCTTGCCTTTGGAAGATGGGAACCCCAAAAGTCCCTCAAGCCCCCACGAGCGGGGAGCCAAACTGTAGTTCAAGCTAAGGCGTGCAAAATCAATAGGCGCGAATGTAAATCAACCCTTTCAGGGTGCGATTTGTTCTTCAGGGTCAAGTACACGTACCGCTTGCGGATTTCCAGCCTTCATTAGCCGCTCCACCGCTTCCTCGCTCAGCTGCCGCGATAGACGCCGCAGCAAATCCGCGAAGGCCTCTCGGCCTCAGCTCGACGGTTTCGCCGGTTCCGCGGGGGTGGGTTTGGACCGGTTGGCCAAACTCAGATGCCCGGTGGCCATGGGAAAAGGGCATCCTTCTTGGGGAAAGGTTGAGTTTAGAAGGGGAACCCTTCCTACAAGAAGGAAAATAAGGGCGCCGCTGGGCAACTGGGCAAAGAACCCAAAGCCAACCGTTGAGGCCTTGAGGCCATGAAAGGTGCTGATGGTGCCACACACACCAACACTCGAGCATTTCTGGGGCTTCCATCGTTTCTGGGTTGGTCTTCATGTGCCAGTCTGTTACCAATCTTTAGGGACACGTTCTTTGGGCTCGCTTTAAAGGAACACAAAGGGAAAGCAACTCTCTTGGCCTCTTGGCCCTCAAAGCATTGCACTCTGCTTCACCGGATCGAGTCTTTTTGTCCGCACGCCGAGTCGATTTAGAGGGTAGTCTTTGCCCAACTGGAGAGTGTGGTGCCAGGCGTGGTGTGCAGGTTGTAGGCGAACACCACCTCGGCCCGAACGAAAAACTCGAGTGATCTCTCGGAGAAAAAAAAAACAAAAAAACAAGCCAGTTGATGCCACTGGAGGCTCCTGGCTGACATTGGTGTGTCTTGCTGTTGTTCTGTCTCCTTTTTTTCAGGGAAACCATCCGTTCGTGGGTGCGAACAACAAATCGATCAAACCGAATGGAACTATTTTCCGGGTCTCATTCTGAGACAAACCCACATGGCAATGATTCCAAGCTTCAGATGGACAGGACAGTCCGGGACTGTGTAAGCATGAGTCATCAAGGCCAAAGTCGACAAACCATTGGGCTGTCGTCCAACGTCTTCCCCTTGGTCATCCGACGTCTCAGAATCTCTGCAGAATAATGTCCAATAAAGTATCCTGGTGATTCAAACGAAATGCACATCTCAAAATAACGAATCGTCCGAGAAGCCGTCGCAGTATGCTTTCACTTTCAGGCAACTTTCCAGCCAGCCCCCCCCCCAAGAAAAAAAACACACGCCGGAAGCAAGCCAAAGAAGCACACGCCTGGCCGTCGTGTGGGTCCCGAGAAATCCGAGAAATCCGAGGCGCTCGGTCCCGGGAGCCCCGGTGGGGCGCCACCCCGTGCACCAGCCAAGATGGGAAGACCAAGGCGAGGCCCGTGACGGCGTGGGAGTAGGCGAGGCGGTGAAAGGGCGCCACTGGCTCCATGGCCTGACGTGTCGCGTGACGCGGCCCCGCGACTGCGACCGATGAGCAAAATTCACCAGGGGGGGGGGTCTCTTGCTTTTCGGCAAGGAGTCTTCCCAAGGCCCCCCCCAAAAAGAAAAAACCAGAGAGTGTGTACCTAGGAATGGCAGAACAGCAAACCCAGTGACCCGTGCTTTCGCTACACTGGAAGCTGGGGGAACCTGGTCTTGAGCGCTTGTGTACCTGGCAGAACTTCAGGGTTTCTCGCCCCGGCAGTGCTGCTGTGATTGGAAGTTCAAAGCCTGTGGCGAAGTACCGACCTCGGATCACTCAACCCTGGAATACAAATTGCCGACAAAACAGTAGGTCTAGAAACAAACACATGCCCTGGTTGCCGTTTGGACAACTTTGGCTATTTAGTACGCAGGAACTCTTGCCTGTTTCATTGCATCCTCTGGGTGAATGTCGCGTTCGCCGGGTAAAATCGGACAAATTTGGGATGCCCGGCCTCGCCGCTCGTGTACCGGAAGGGCCTGGACGTGACGAGATCTCGGCTGGAAGCAGTCAAGAAAGAAGGAAACAAGTGCACCACTTGTCCGGGAGACACTCCAGATTACTCTCCCATTGCTTGGTTCCTATGGTGCAGAAACTTTGAAAGAGGAGCCTGTCACTTGCATACGTGTCATCGGGAGGAAAACATAAAACCCCAAAAACATTGCTCAGAATCTCCTTTGGTAGGTCCTTTTTGAGTTCCTTGTTAATCAGGGGACTATATGTTTGCTGGAACAAACGGTTTGATCACGTTATGGACTCGGTTTCCCCTGTTTCACAGCAGGGCGGTGCACATCGAAAGCTCACAAGGTGCAGTGGATTTCAAGAAGATGGTCCCCTCATTTGCTGGCACTTGCTTTTCAATGGGTTTCCCTCCCCATGCTCCCCTTGCGACCGACAGCATTTTCGCCCCAACAAGCTGAAACTTGAAACCCTTGTTGACCCCTACCCCTTGATTTCCCAACAAGTTGATGTCTAAAGATCCAAAGAGCAAAGAAACAGGAGCCCAAGCTGGAGCTCCAAAATCGGCGGCCTGGTGCCCCTCGGGTCCGCGAAGACCGTGGGGGTGCGCTCGCTCACCGCGTCTCCCCCGGCGTCCGCGTAGAAGACCCCACTGACCAGCGCCAGCGGGTGGTCGTGGAAGGCTAAACCCGGCAGTTCCTCGAAGGCCATGGCGACGCTTTGGGAGATGATAAAACAAAGAGACCGGGAAAAAGTTGAAGGACGCCAGCCCCAT